TCTTCATTTCAGGCTGCATAGCAACAAAATGTGATTATTTTAAAGGGGGGTGATTGTTTTCTATACCCCCTGTATATATGTATATATATCTTAAATTTATATTTTAGATATTTTACTGGAACAAGACAACAAAGCTAAAAAAAAAAGAAAGAAAAAAAAGATTTTTACAGTGTTGCATGTATGAAGCATATTAAAAAGCTAATTAAAAATCTTTTTGGAGTGTACAGTATTGCCATGATGCTAATGTAACATCCTCCACAACATCAGGGCGAACGTTTGAGTCATGCGGTGGGATGCGCCTTTGCTGCTTGCCTTGAGCGGAAGCAACGCAGAGAGAAGGAGTGCGGGGTCACGGCTTCCTTCGATGCAAGCCGCACATCGTTTGTGAGGGAAGGCTCCTTCCGCGTCTCCTCTGCTGGACAGCAAAGTGACCGGGAGGACATCATGAAACAACTGCAGGACAAAAAGAAAGGTCAGCCTCATTACAATCACTCTCAAACACCAAAGGCTTTCTTTGTAAAAAATGACTCTGATTAGTGAATGTGCCTCTCTGTAGAAGCATGCATCATTTCTGCAGTGCCTCCTGGAAATGCTTCTCCTCCAGAGGGAGCGGCTTCACCGGGGGAGCGAGCGGAGCCAGGCGGGCCTCGCGCCATCCCACGCCGCCACGCTCCTATCGAGCAGCTGGTGCGGCAGGGCTCTTTCCGCGGCTTTCCACAACTTAGCCAGAAGAACTCACCTTTCAAACGGCAGCTCTCACTACGCTTGAATGATCTCCCATCAACCCTACAGCGCAAGACGGACTTCCAGACCAAGAACCCAGGTTAGTTGTTTTCGTGTACTCAAGCAGCGTAAAAACTGTAATGTTGACCCAGTACTGTTTACCCATGTGATAGTACTGACCGCCATTTATGTGTACTGTGCGTCATCAGCCAGAGGAAATTTCAGATGTATCTCATGTTGAGCCTGCAAACAAATAAGCACAAAAGCACTCTATTTGCACTGAAACCTTATAATTGTACCCATAAAATCATTTGAGCGTGTATTCCAGACCATAAAC